CTTAATCTTTTATTTGAAGCAAGTTTGAAATCTATTCAAAAATCAAATTTTCAAATATTTTATTAAAAATTTCCATTAAAAATTTCAAAAATGTAACTTTCAAGCCTTATAACTTGAAAAGTTCTTAATGAAAAACAATTTTATTAGAGTGTTTCAAAAAGTTATGGAAGAAAACTATATAATAAAAAATGTAATGAAAAATGGAGAATTCTATTTAAAAAATTCAAAGTGAATTTGACTTGACCTTAACGACGCCAAGGTCAAAGTGGTACTTTTTTTTTATATTTCCCTTCGGAACAGAACCAACTTTTGCTTGAAATATTTTTCCTTCATATTTTTCGAGATATTTTCCTGTCAAGATTAAAATGAATCACTCTGTATATACATATATATATATTTTTTAAATATATATGTATAATATATCTATAATGTATAATATATCTATATTTGTTATATCAAAGGGAAGAAACATGCCATTAAACGCTTTTTACCGAATTGCCCGTAATACTCAACGTATGTGGTTTGGTGAAAATCAACGAGGAAATGAAACCGAGGGTGCGTCCGCCAACGAGGTAGAGAGTGCATTTTGGAAACATGTTGCCGAGAGAAAACGTCATGTCTGCGTACATGCAGCAAGCATTGATTCGAGCGGTCGTGGATTTGGATTTTCTGTTGCAAAAAACAGTCCGTTTGCTAGACATCCTTGGAATCTTAAAGTTCTCACTAACAATCCTGGATCAGTATTAAGAGCTTTGGGTCCACTAATGGGTATGTAACTTTCATATATATATATATATATACATATACATACACACACAATATATATCATAATCAAGATATTATAATTGTTACAATTATTACAATTATTTGTATGAATGAAGGAAATAAATAATAAACGATCCTCATTTTTTAATCCTTATTTTACGCTTTTTTCAATAAAGGTGTATATAACATTTTTATACATACAATGTCGGTATTTCTAGGTGTGACCGTACCAACATTGCATGTGGGTATGTTATTTAGCGCTTGTTGTTGGTATCGTGATCCGCATGGTCTACCATGGATAGAGTATCTACATACAGGTGCCAAAAAAATTTGGTATGGAATACCTGATGAGCATAATAATAATTTCCGAAAAGCGCTCTCGAAAATGGTACCACAATATTGCAAAAATAAGACTATATGGTTACCTTCTGATACTGCTATGGTTCCGCCGGAATTATTAGTGAACAACCATGTACCATTATGTCAGACTGTGCAAGAGCCGGGACAATTTATAATAGTATTTCCAAAAGCGTTCACATCAAGCATATGTACTGGTTATGTTGTATCTGAAAGCGTATATTTCGCACAACCATCCTGGTTAGAAACTGCAGAACAAGTATTTAAGGTATGTAACATATAAAATCTTTCGTATAAGATTTTTAGCCAGTTAATTTTAATTACGATTTTATTATTATTATTAT